CCCCCCCCCCCCATGGGATGTTCCATGTGCCCCGGTATCGCAGTGTTCATGAGCCTTGCTGGTACCTCGAGGTATGTAGAAAAAACATTTTAAGCTGTGTGTGTGTCTGAATCGCTGATTCTCTGAATCAGCATCAAATCTTCAGATTCGGATTCGGCTGAATCAAATCGGGGACAGTGATCCAAATCAACTAATCGAATTACTGTCCCTGATTCAGGCTGAATCCAAATCGAATAGGGCCCACTTTGCACACCCCTAATTTCTACCATGACACTACAGTCTGTAGAGTAGACATGCCCTGGGATAGATAGAATAACAAGGCTTTTAAGAACACTTAAAAAGGACACTATTCTGTACACATAGCTGACACTTTAGCTGGGGCTAGATCATCACGTATATACTACACCAATGCTTATTGTTAATGCAAGGCTATATTCATTTGTGCATCACATGAATTTCTGGGGGGCTGCCTAGAGCCAAAATAAACCCAACACAAGTTTAAAATTATGGAAGGAATTTGTGACAGCATCTTGCAGTTCTCAGGGAAACACTCTGCTGCTTAGTTGTTTGCTAGAATTGATCACTCTCCAGTCATGATCCTTCTCACCATCACCTACTTGCACCCTGAAAATGTCCTGCACATTACCATTATTTCTTTCAATAGCCATAGAAGCAGAAAGGGAAAACAGTGGTAATGCGCTTATTTTGTGTGTCTCTGTCAATTGTGACAAGCATGGACTTTCTAGAGAATGAATGCCACAGACATGACTCAGAACATTCGGCTGGAGCAGTCAATTAATATATTATTGCTCTGGATGGAGAAAAATCTTTTGTGCTTCTGTTTGTACAAATGTTGCTGAATCAGAGTATACAATCTAAATAAAACATGTGCTAAGTGTTCCTTGCAACAATGCTCTAGAGATCCACAGCCATTCAAAAGGCCAAGCCAGTACCAAATCTTCACGGTTCATGATCTTCAGAAAAAATGCCCGCAGAGGTATATAGGACCTACCTCACAGTGACTATCTGCCCACCATCCAACACCACTCCATTCATCTGTGCAATGAAGATGGCAGCCACTGCTTCATAAAGGGCAGTCCCATCCATGTTAATAGTGGCTCCAACAGGAAGGACAAATCTTGTTACCCGTTTATCAATGCCTAGGTTTTCTTCAAGACACCGAAAGGTAACAGGTAATGTACCAGCACTGGAAGAGTGAGCAAATAAATGGAGGAAGAAACAGCTTTATGACACATAATATGCTTGCATGATTCATAGATTCATAGACACTAGGGCCGGAAGGGACGTCAGAAGATCATTGAGTCCAGTCCCCTGCCCCAGGGGCAGGAAGTCAGCAGGGATCACAGGATTTTCAAAGTTGCTGTTCCATTTTTATTCTCTACTCTGCCACAAGCAGCAAAGAGAACAAGATTCAGCATATGCTACTGAATGCTATAGGAAAGACCAATGCTTAATGTAAAGTTTTCGTACTTCATTGCCAGGAAAACATGAACATTGCTATATTTTTCCCTTTTCTTTGCCAATTTTTTCTTGTGCTTCATGCTACATGTGACCAGAAATCTGTCTTCAATTTAAGCCACTTTTGGAGCTAACTGGCAGTCAGACTATGAGTTAGAAAAAGCGAGAGAAATAGGTGCATGTTTGCAAGGGGAAAGAAGTTGTAGATGTGACTTCAATCTAAGTTGTAAATCATTTCTTGACCAGGGGAATTTGGTTGATTTGAATTCAAATAAATATATATTTAAGGGGAAAATTCTTTTTCTTTTCAGCTGTGAAAGTGTTCTTGACAGAGAAACCCAGAGCTACTCTATTATGTGCAATGGAGGGTGGATAAGAGGTACTACCGATATATTCAGTTCTTAGAGCATGGGGTCAGTAGATGATGTGGGTCATGGGTGGAGGGTGGAGATCAGCTCCTTGCATGGATCTCTCCTGTAGAAGTCTGAAACTGAAATAGATTTAGCCAGAAAACTGATCAGAGTTTGCAGGTTCATTTCACAGGTTCCTGTGCCAAGCAGGTCTGCTTAGAACAGTCAAAGGACTTTCCACTAAAGGAATGAATCAGTGGAGTGCATTGGTTCTTTCATTTTTTGTGGCATCACTAAGCTAATTTGGTTGCACCCTGACCAAGAAGCTAGCTCTGAAAAGGGAATGTCAATTTAGGGAATTTTTTGATAAATCAATTGTTCCATAGAGAAGCAGCTGAAGCATGTCCACCTTCATATCTCAAACTGAGTCACTGGCATCTCTCAAAGGCAGTCATGCTTAGTGAACCAATAATGCTGAATGCAGTGTCTAACAAAAATGTCAATTATTGGTTATAATAAAAATAATAAAGGGCTGAACTCACTAAAATGAACTAAAATACTTACCACATTTATATCTCATACCTTGCAACTTTAGAGTGGCTTTAACACATTAATTAATTCACAGAATGAGTCTACATCCATTTTACAGATGGATGTGAAGCCAAGAAAAGAGAAATTAAGTGACTTCTCCAATACTGCACTTGTCAGAGCCTGATTTGAGAAAAGGGGTTTATTAGCCCACACTAATGGGCATGTCTACACGTGCAAATAATGTGAAGCAATAAACTCTGGAGTTTATTGCTCTGGAATTTAATACTCCCAAGTGCACCATTTGAACATGCACCCAGGACCACAGCAGGTTGGATCAGCCTTGGCTGGCAGACAGCTGTTCTCACCTGGCTCAACATACTATGGAAGGGCTGGCTGGGGCATGATGCTGGGGCACAAATTTGTGCCAATACTATGTGCTGCAGTGCACGCCCCTGCCCTTGTGCTTTGCAATGGGAAACATTGTCCCACTGTTCCATATGCTGCACGCAGGGGGCTTGGGGTAGCCATCCCCTGTGCTGAGGCACCCTGGGCCCTGGCCAGCTGGAGACTGGCACATGGAGATGAGGGAGCAGGCCAGCCCAGCGCTGCCTGCTCCCCCGTCTTGAGGCACCCTGAGTCCCAGCCAGGTGGGGAGTGGCTGGCTGGAGCGCAAGGTTCCTCTGCATGGGGGCTCCATGACTGATGGAGATGGGAGAGCAGGCAGTCCTGGGCTGCCTGATCCTCCATCTCTTCATTTGTCCTGGTGCTCGTCTGGTGCTTGTTGTGCCACCTTCTTCCAGGATGTTTTTTTTTCACTACCAGGAAATCCTGGTAACAAATTTTGCCCCAGCACTGGAAATTAGCTGTACTGAGCACTGATTGATGTGCAACTTGTGCGGTTTGTGGCACTTGTCTAGTTTGTGGTACAAACCACATGTTCCTGCATGTCTGGATCCAACTTTTATGTTTTTCTATTTATCATAAGACCTTTCCCTATAATTCAGGAGGCAAACGCATATTTTAATTTATTTTTTAACATAAGTGATTTGACTTCCCTGGAAGCTGAAGCACTTAATCTCTGAAAAATAAGCACAGTAGGTAGAAGCAATACAAAATTCTTCCACTGTTTTAAGAAAGAACCTTAATCCTTGTTCAAAGAAGCATTTGAAGGTCCACCAGCAGTTCAGTCTTTGGCTTCTCAGCTGGCACTCCTAAAGAGAATGCCAGCTGTAATGCTGGTGGTCACTTGGTTATGAATATATGGACTAAGAACCAGGGAGACATGTTATACTGTTTCTTACACAGCCATCAGCTGTCAAATAAGTAAGGTTTTCAGTCAATGCTAATACAGATTAATGAGCTGAAGCAAATCAGAAGTTTCTCATCTGTGAAAATTTGGACTTGTTAAAAATGGAAAAGACAAAATGTTTTGGTCCAAACTAGATGGAAAACAAAGCATTTCATTTCATTTTAAAAGTGTTACTATGATGACACATGGGAGCTGTAATTTGGGTACTGCATGTCCTTATATTCCACTATGGGTTGGGTTTCCTGGACAGATAAAGCTCCCATGATCCATCAGTCTCTGATTTTCCAGAGCTCCTCAATGCACCATAGCTGATGACATATTATGGTAAGTTAGCCTGTAGAGGCATGGAGCACCCAGCCACAGTTTTATGAAGCATCACATTTCTGAATCAAAAAAATTCAGTCCCCTGGTATCCAGCGTTTCAACAAAACCTTACATTTTCTGCAGAGAGTAAGCACTTTTGCAAAATAAAAATATTTAATAGAATACTGACATTTCTATCAATACACAGCTTTGACAGGAATTTTACAGGCAGCTCTAGTGAAAAGCATCTTATCCTGTTACCAAGCTCTGAGTCATCAAGTCCCATATTCCCTTTCTCTATGCACTAACTGAAGGAATGAAAACTCAAGATTCTTATCCAATTTTCTTTATTCTGCCAATTTTGGCTGAAATATGAACAGTGAGATTTGGAATAACTCCTTGCTGTTGACTGGGTAGGGTCTGGTTTCCAAACCTAATCTGTAAAGAGTCCCAGGATATCTGTTATCTCACTTGTTAATAATAGAGAGAGAAATCTTTATTGGGGTCAATGGACATGTGCGCACACACACAAACACACCTTGTGCCTTTCTAACTCTCAGATTAACTAAACAGAACCTGGGCTAACTAATAGTATCATCCTAACATGGATGAAACAGTTGAAAGTGTGCACGAAGAGTGGTCATTGCTCAAGAACACGATCCTCAAAGCACAAAAGACGCCCATTCCTGTGAGGAGGAAAGGTAGCAGAAGGACTGGTAAGCCCTTTTGGCTTAATAGGGATATCATAATCCTCTTGAAAAAGAAGAAAGAGACGTACAAACAATGGAAGCTTGGGACAGTGTATACAACGACAGCCCACACTTGTAGGGAGCAGATTAGAAGGCTAAGGCGGCAACTGAATTTAAACTAGCTACAGAAATCAAGGGCAATAACAAGTCCTTCTTTAGGTATGTAGGGAACAGGAGGAAGACAAGTGGAAACTAAACTCCTGAATGACTATTTTGCTTTAGTATTTCACTGGACTAAGGGGAAAATCATACTAGATAAGTTTAAGAATGGGCATGGTGGGAATGACCGCCTTCCTACTGCTGATATTGAGCTGGTGCATGATCAGATAGAAAAGTTAGCCATCTATAAATCAGCAGGACTGGATGAACTTCACCCAAGAGTGCTGAAGGAGCTGGCTGAAGTCATCTTGGGATGTCTGGCGAAACTCTTCCAAAACTTGTGGCACTCGGGGGAGGTCCCTGAAGATTGGAAGAGGGCCAATGCTGTGCCCATCTTCAAGAAGGGGAGGAGAGAGGACATGTGCAACTATAGACCAATTAGCCTAACTTCTATCCCAGGGAAAATCCTGGAAAAAATCATCAAGGAGTCTATGTGGGATATGTTAGCAAAAGGTAGGATTCTGAATGACAGCATCATGGGCAGGTGTTATCTTACCAATCTCATCTCCTTCTACGACCAGGTAACTCACCACCTGGATAAGAGAGAGGAAGTTGACACTGTATACCTGCACTTCCTAAAGTCCTTTGATTTGGTATCCCATGATGTTCTCATGGAAAAATTGGCTGCAGGGTAGGACCCAGAGAGTTCTAATGAATGGATCTGTCATCCTGGCGAGAAGTGGTCAGTAGAGCTGTGGGAAGCTTTGGTTCCTGATTCAGTTCAGTGGAAATCTGGCCTAATTCGGAGGCAAAATCTCCAAATCTGAATCAAATCAGGAGACCCTTTAATCTCTCCGAATCGAATTGGAACCCTCCAAATTGATTCAGAGAGATATGGAAAGATTCAGCAATTCAGACATAGCTTTAAATGTTTTTTCTACATACCTCAAAGTGTCAGGGGGCTCATTAATGCTGCAACGCTGGGGCGCACGAAGTGTCCCACAGAAGCTGCACTCACTGGCTGCTACAACAGCCATCGGGGCTTCTGGGGGCTCATGGCAGAGCCCCCCATTCAGTGTGTGGCAGTGGGGGGTAGCGGGAATTGCACCTCCCCACCTGGCAGCAGCCAGTGAGTGCGGGATTTAAAAAAAAAAAGAGCTGGGACTCTGGGGCTCAGCAGAGAAGCCAATGAGGGGCTGGGAGAGCGGGAGAGGGATGGGGCCTGTTTGATTCAGAGATTCGACTGATTTGGTGGGGACTGAATCTATTTGGGACAGTGATTCAAATCAATGTCCCCCAAAATCAGCTGAATCTGAATCCGAAGCGAATACTAGCCGCTTCGTACAGGCCTAAAGTAAAATGCTCTATCTGGGGACAAACAATCCCATACTTACAGGCTCAGTGGCACCAAACTGACTAGCACCATGGCTGAAAGGGACCTAGGGGTAATAATGGACCATAGTATGAACATGAGCCATCAGTACAATGCCAGCAGAGCAAACAATACTCTGGCATGCATTAACTGAAGCATCTCAAGCAAAACTGAGCAAGTGATTATTCAGCATTGGTGAGACCACAGCTGGAGGACGGCGTCCAGTTCTGGGTGCCACACTTCAACAAGGATGTGGAAAAGCTTGAGAGAGTCCAGAGAAGAGTCATCCTTATGATCAGAGACTTGCAAAGCAAACCATATGAGGAAAGGCTGAGGGACTTGTTTCTCTTCAGCCTAAAAAAGAGAAGGCTGAGAGGGAACTCTGTAGCAGCTTACCGCTATATCATGAGGATCCATCAAGGGCTCAGCAAACAGCTGTTCACCAGGGCACCCTTGGGGAAAAACCAGGATTAATGGCCACAAAGACCTGGAAGACCATTTCAGGCTTAACACTAGGAAAACTCCTTCACACAGTCAGGGTGTCCAGACTATAGAATAAACTCTCTCCAGCAGTGGTGCAATCATCTACCCTGGAAATCTTCAAGATGGGATTCAATACTGACAAGTGCAGAGTACTGCACTTGGGCAGGAAGAACCGGCAGCATACTTATAGGCTGGGGAACTCCCTTCTCGAAAGTACAGTAGCAGAAAGAGATCTTGGAGTCATTATTGATCCTAATATGAGCATGGGCTGCCAATGTGGGGACGTAGTCAGGAAGGCCAACCGCACCTTGTCATGTATCCACAGATGCATCACAAGCAGGGCCAAGGAGGTGATCCTTCCCCTCTATGTGACACTGGTCAGGTCACAGCTGGAATACTGTGTACAGTTCTGGGCGCTGCACTTTGGGAGGGATGTGGCCAGCATCAAGAGGATCCAGAGGAGGGCCACTCACATGATCTGGGGACAGCTGGGCAGGCCATACGAGGAGAGGCTATGGGACCTGAACCTGTTCAGCCTTTGCAAGAGAAGGCTGAGAGGGGATCTAGTGGCAGTTTGTTAACTTACCGGGGGGACCAGAGGTGAATGGGTGAGACCCTGTTCACCCAAGCGCCTCCCAGAGTAACAAGGAATAACGGCCACAAGCTGATTGAGAGTAGGTTCAGGCTAGACACCAGGAGGTGCTACTTCTCAGTCAGGGAGGGCGGGACGTGGAACCAGCTTCCAAGGGAAGTGGTGCTGGCTCCTACCTTAGGGATCGTTAAAAGAAGGCTTGATTACTACCTAGCTGGGGTCATATGAGCTTAACTTAATGGGGGTCATATGAGCCCAGTATTCATTCTTGCCCATGGCAGGGGGTTGGACTTGATGATCTGCTTGGGTCCCTTCCAACCCTACATTTATGACTCTAAGAGGAAACTAGACAGTCACCTTGCTGGGGTCACCTGACCCCAGGTGCCTTTCCTGCCTAGTACAGGGGGGCTGGACCCCATGATCTTGTGAGGTCCCTTCCAGCCCCTAACATCTATGAATCTATGAAAGAGAAAATGCTGGTGACAACAAAAAACCTTCTACTTCCTCTTCTACCAAGCCTCGTCAAACCTTCTAACTTTTACCAAACCTTCTACTAAGCCTCATCTACCCCATGCTTGAAACATAGCATTACTAATTCTTTTAGAAGCAGCCATATGAATACATATTGATTCTCTTTTGAAAATTGTTGCTAAAGCTTTTAATAATTATGATTTAAAAGTGCCCATGTAGCACTTCCCATCTACTGAGCTTAAAGTGCTTTAGAAAGGTGGGTAAATAGCATTATCACCGTTTTACAGGTGAGGGGATTGGTACAGACTTTATCTGATTTGCAGAAGTTTACACAGTGAGTCAGTGCAGGGAAGAGAATAGAAGACAAGTAGGTCTCTTTACACTCAGTCTGTGGCCACTGGCATGCAGGCCATACTGCCTCCCTTTGAAGTCAGGCAGATATGGTTAATCAACAGTTTTATTTCTCATCAGCATTAATTGTAATATGGTTTTTTTTAGTAAAGATCAGGACTGCTTCTATATAATGTCTAGTAACTCCTAAAAGTGTAAATACAGTGGCATTTCCCATGAAATACCTGGAAGCTGTGCCTAGAGCTGTGATCCATGCCTGGAAAATGCCAGCGAGGAACGAGAAGGGGCTTTTTCTTGTTATCACAAAGTACAGTAATGGCAAGAAGATCCCGCCATGGATGACAAGGCCCACAATCACTGTTACCATGTACATTCCCAGTTGCCTAGCAACCACTTCTAAGTCCTTGATTGCAATGATTTTCCCACAAATGAGGCAGGCAATGCCCAAAGGTGAGTACCTGGAAAATAAAACAAACACAGATAGAATTGATCCTTACAGCATGCAGCCATAAAACCTGTGCTCAAAGGTGGATAAAAATACAGGATTTTCAGGTTGAACCTGTTAAGAGATGAAGAGAGCTCACTAAAAGGATACTGAATTATTGAATGAGGACACCCTACATGCTGTTCTTATACAGTATGAATAAACCTGGTTCATTTAAGTAATACAACGATATCCTATGGCCACAGCCAAAGGTAGTTGCTCAATTTTACTCATTCTCATTGAATTTAACATGCCTTTCTTAAGGAAAGATTCAACTTTCTGGTAATATCCCATCAGAATATATACGTGTTTTGGACCATTACTAAAAAATAGTGGTTTATACACACATACCTGTTACATAGCAGTTTTTATTTGGTTTAGGGCTGAAATATTTGTTGCAGATAAATGACCTGATAAATATAGCCCTTTTTCCATATGAATCTGCCTGCTTTCTGCAAATGTCTCTGTTATATTCATTAAACTATTTGGCTTTCAGACTGTGGATTGATTGTTAATTACGTGCTCTGTTAATTTATTATATGATTAATTACCTGATCATCCTTGATAAGAGGAATGAAATGTAAACAGGAGAATAACAGTAGTACATTGTGGTACTAAACAATTTATTTCTACAGCTCATAAATGACAAAGAGTGAGTATGTAGGAATACTGGAATGTGTGTGTTGGCAGGGAGGGGCATTCATTCACTCCTCTGTCGCACAGCTTGTCACACATCCATTTCAAACAGATTTCACCTTCCTCTCCTTACTTTATAACAGACTTACTGTGGAGGAAAAAATAGCTGTATTTCCAGGTGAAGAGGAAACAATAGAATCTCTTCTGAAGAAATTTGTAGGGACTATATTTTCAAAATTGGCTGGTGATTTGGCATGCCTACATTGACATGACTGCAAAAGATCTGTGATAAAAGGTATGTCCTAAACAATGTCAGAAAATCCAGTTCCTTAAGGTATCTCAAGTTGAGCACGCAGCACCTGAGATGCTGAAAATCACGAGTGACTTTTGAAAACTAGGGCCAATTATTTCTAACTACTGCTCCAGCTGCCGCAGACATAGTCTGTTCTTGCTGAGTGATTTACCAAGGATAATCCCTGTAAAGGGTTAAGCAGTGTCACTCTCAGATGCCAGACCATATTTTACTTTGTTATGGCACTCTGGTATTCAGGAGAGTCTCATGAATCATTGGAACTGCCAGAAAAGACAGAAATTTTTTTATGGACACGTCATAAATAACTAGACAGAATGCCCCTTTGGATAAAGAAGAATGGCATTTGCCTTTATAAACACACAATGCTAATTCTCTTGCCCAGCAACAATTCTCGGCGGAGACGAATAAGAGGTGTTTTTACCATAATTCATTCTCCCTTTTTTAGGACAGAGGAACAAGCAGTTCATCAAAGAAAAACAAATGATTTCTATGGGCTTCTTCAAAGCAGGATGACTGCCCATAATTGCAACACTTAACACAACAGAAGCCTTGAAGCACATGTCTTAGATAATCAATTATGTCTAGCATGGGCTTCTCAGTGCCAATATGTGAAATATTAGTAAATTCAAACTTCTGGACTATTCAAAGCACTATAATCATTGCTTCTAAATACATGCCGCAGGTTATAATAAATATTACAGAGAGTCCTTTTGTTCGCAAAAATAACTACATCTGTTTTCAGAGAGGGGGCAAATTGAATATGAGAAGAAAAATGAGAAAGTGAGAGAATTATTTCATGAACTAGTCTAGGTTTCTTGACAAGTTTCACATTGATATTGCCAGCAGTACACCTTGTACACACCTGAAACCTAAAAGCACCAGTTATTCGTCCATATCCCCTGGGAATTACAGCTATTTAGAACCTCAGAGGGAGGCATAGTTTAGCCCTGTAACTTAAGAAATGATACTTTCATGAGCATCTGGAGTTCAAGGGAAGCATATGCTGCAAAAGTATGGCCTGTTCTGTTCAGCTTAGTACAGAGATGCAAAAAGCCTGAGACAGAAGTGCTTTAAGTTTTACACTTTAAGTGCCCTAGCTTAGGTCAGGAGGGAACAAAACAGACATTCCCATTTCTATGCACGGGGGAAGCAGGGTGCCTCCCAGCAGCTGGGCCACCCCTGATCAGCCAGTCCAGCCCTCTCCCCCGACGCCACCAGTCAGCTTTCAGTGGCAGCCAGGTGGCCCTCCCCACCAGTGTTGTCTGGCTCGAGTTAACGGGTACGGGGTGGAAGGGGGGCAGGGACAGGGCCACATGGCAGGGGCATCTGCTCCCCCACTAATACCATGCTGCATGAAAAACCCCCAAGCCTTGCCGCCTCAGTACTGGTAGGGGGCGCTGCTGCTGCTGCCTGACTCACCACTGATGAAAGGCACAGGCAACAGCTGGGAGGTAGAAGATGTCCCCGCCACATAGGCCTGGCCCCCACTGTGCAGACCCCAGCTGGGGGGAGCGAGGCTGGGGGCTCCAGTCCCCTTCCACCTGCTCTTCCTGAAGCTGAGAGGCAGGGGCTGGTGGGAAGCCAGAGCTGGAGTAAGTGGCCCTGCAGCCTGGCTGAGCAGGGCAGTGAGGGGGGAAAGCCCGCACCACGGGCCTGGCCCCTGCTCTGCAGACCCCAGATGGGGAGGGCTAGGGCCAGGGTGGGGGACTCAGTTGTCCCCCTTACCTGCTCTCCATACTGCTGCCAGCCAGCCTAGGGAGCAGAGACTTTGCTGCCTCAGCTGTGACAGCCCATAGGTGAGGTGGGTTGCAGGGGGGCTGGCCCAGCTCAGCTGGAGCAGATGAGGGGGAAAAGAAGCTAGCCCACCCACCCTGTGAGTGAAGATTAGCGGGGGGCCACAGTGGCTCCTGGGATACTATGGGACTGCAACCTAGCTTGATTCAGGAGGGGTTCTGGGACAGAAGTTCAAGAAAGTGGTCTAAACTAAACTCATTAAATCTGACACCATATCCATCTTAAACTGTGTTAAACTGTTTTGAAACTGGTCTATGTGCAATGAACTTTCATTCTGTTACAGTTTTAGACCAGTTATCGATCACTTATACCAGTTTATGTGTAATTTCTGACCATGGTCTTCTTGCTCTTCACTGCTTATGGCAGACAGTGCATTAGAAATGAGGGACTCCCTGACACAACACACCACACAATAAGCCACTTAAATGCAAAAGAGTGGAGAGCTCTTATCTTGCTTTTCCCATCAGCAGTAGGCAATTTATATCTGTGTCCTTTGCTGGGTTTCTGACTAAAGGGATTCATAGTTTCCTGTCTTCCCTTAGTTGGCAAGTGCATGGCCTAAATGTATGGAAATCAAGAGGTTGCATGCCAAATGCCACAGTGCATGTTCTTTTCTGAAAAGATAATTCTATGTGACATGGATATGTTCAACAATTGTATACAAATAGCTCTGAGAACTTCTCAGCTGCATCTAGAAGATGGAGAAAAAGTCTTAAGAAATGTAAGCAAAGCTTTGACCCTAAATGGGTTGACATACTTCCTTAAAAAGAAACTGGGTTTTGCTATTATGAATGAGCGGGTTTTACACTTCTCTAGTGACGTAGCCGAGTTTAGTATCATTTATTCTGGTACATTTCTAGAATGCGGTCTGCATGCGGACTTTTTGCAGGCTAAGGAAGAAGACTTTTGTACATTAGTGCAAACAGTTGGGTTCTCATTTTGATGGAATGTACATTTCTGGTAAGCCAGTCTTGCTGTAAAACACTGTAAATAGAGCATCTCCCTTGACTACTCTGTAATTATACCTCCTAGTTAATAGCCTGTTATTATGCTAACCTCACAGGAAGATTTTGATGTTATTATGTTTTGAGGGCTTGTTTAGTTAGTAGGTTGTTTTTTAATGTAATGAACCTCTATAACAAAGGTGACATTTTTATGCAGGCGGTAAACCACTCTTAAACTATATGACTTGGAGTCCCCTAGGCAGAAAATGACAGCAGGCCTGCCATCTTTTGAGATGTTTCAAAACAAGATTTAATTACCTCCCACCAAACAGAAACACCCCTATTCCAGCTGTCCCATCCTTGTCATAGCTTTAAAAAGCAACCCAGTGAGCAGAAATACCTAATTGGATGGATTAAAAATAAAGAATGACATGTATAGAATATGGACATCTGTGGCCTGTGTACTTTTTGTATGCTAGGAATTCTGTCCTCAGACTTACCACATGATCATAGTCACTAGTTTCATTACAATCTCATTCAGGATGTTGAAAAAGTCCACCATCATCTTGGCTTGTTCTCCCATCTTCCCCATAACAATGCCAAAAGCAATGAAGAACCCTATTAGACCTGTTGGAGGAATCACACTCCCTGTTAGAAGGCATGTTGGGTTTTTTTGTCTAAGTCACTGTAGCTGTGTCAGCTTGTTGCGAATACAAAGTAATTCAACTTTTGAGACAGTTGTATTAGGTTTCAGGCTTGGAATGCCTTAAAGTGACTTGCTCTAAGCTTCCAGAAGGGAAAACATGAATAATTCTTTATTCATTGGTCCTTATTAAACTGACAATAAAGACTAGGGTTTTTTGTTTGGGTTTTTTTGGGGCGGGGGGACAGTTAAATTATGCATTTTGTAGCATTTAGACCAGGGATCAATTAATCAATAATACATTTACAGGACTGGATTCAATTTCAGTTTGAAATCGTGATGCTGTGGTCCCAGTGACCTTTTTGGTGTGATGTAAAGGATGTGTACATGTATCTATGTATACATAGATAGCAGAGATTTCTTGGATGCCTGGTTGAAACCCCAGAGTGCATGTATCACTGTGCTCTGACTTTTTTCTTTAGTTGCTACAACAGCTTTCATAGATTAGAATCAATTGTGCCAAGTTAAAGCAGATCTAAGGCAGCTCTAACTTATGTAGAAGACACTCAAAAAATACTTGGAGATGCAAAGATAATTCTTCTTCCACCCCTTCTCCCCCAAGACACATGCAACATTCTCACGCAAGCATAACTCAGTCACAATGGAGTTCTTTCCCTATGCAAAAAGAGAGAGAGAGATTAACAATGAATGTTTTCCTACTAAATGCAGTAGGAACAGTGTTTCTCTACCTTTTAAGTAGCAAGTACCCCCTAAGTTCTGAAAACTTTAAGTACCCCAACACTCAATTTTCCAGGGGATTTTATATTTACAGACTAATGCATGCCATATGTTGGAAGAAGGGCAATGTATATAAGGCCGTGATATGACAGATGTCTGATCTGGTGTGAGTAGGGTTGCCACATTTTACACCAGGGGTGCACAACTCAAGTATGTACCTGGGCTACATGTGATGTTGGCCAAAGCTAGGAGGGCTGAACCAACCAAAGAGTTGGCCAAAGCTAGGCAGGCTTTGTGCAGCATGCCAAATTATTACTGGGCAATTTAAAGCACTGCACAATGTGTGGCGCACTAAATTTTTTGCTATAGTTTTGAGAGGAGGAAGGGGCAAGAGAGAGAGGAAAAAAGGGTGAGAGAGAGAGGGTATTGGGGTACCCATGTACCCCCTGCCTTTATCTCACGTACCCCCAGGGGTACGCGTACCACAGGTTGAGAAACTATGCGGTAGGATAAGGCCTTAAAATGAAAAAACTACTATTATTATTTCAAATGAATGGAGGACACTCTTCAAGTATTAAAAAAGAAGGAAAAAAAGAAAGATGAGAATCAACTTAGTGAATGAGGATGCTAGGGGCTATTTATATATATAGTTCCCAGCTGAGTTCACACACTTTCAAAATGCTGAACTCATATTACCTCTCATAGTTCAATCTCCTGAGGACTAAAGAGCTACAGAATTTCCTATTAGTGTCAATATATAAGCCTAAATATGCCTTTTTGCCTCTTGGCCCCTGAAAATTGCTAGATAGCAAAGCTAAGTGCTGACGAGCAGTGCCCCAAAGTTTATATTATATATATTTCTCTCTCTCTCTCTTTTTTCCCCCACCCAACTCTCTCTCTCTCTCTCTCTCATATAATTTGGGGGGTATTGCTCTTCAGCACTTAGCTTTTCTACCCAGCAGTTTTCAGGGCCAAGAGGCATATTTAGGATTATATTTTGACACTAATAGGAAATTCTGTAGCTTTTCAGTCCTCGGGAGATTGAACTATGAGAGCAAATATGAGTTCAGCATTTTGAAAGTGTGTGAACTCAGCTGGGAACTTCCCCATATCAAAAACGCAAGTAATTCCGATCTGGAAATAAAATCAGGAAAGGAGGATTTCAGATTCTAATGCACAGTGAAATGACTGGCTGTCAAATTCTTTCATTGTACTTAAGAAGAAAAATGAGCTTGACCATTAATCTACTCATTAGTAGGATGGTGAGAGATGTTTTACTGAGTTGTGCCACAGTTGCACAGAAGGGGATCAAAGTGTGTATGTGGGGGAGTGCATCTACATGTGCAATTAATGCAACATGATAAACACCAGAGCAGCTTGTGCCACAGCACACTGCTCCTAGGCACAGCATCTACACGTGCACATGGGACAGCAGCATTTTGAGCCAGGGGTGGAGCAGACCTGGGCTGGCAGCAGGCTTGAGAGGTCAGTCTCTGGCTCTGGGTGGTGGCATCAGGTGGAAGAGGGGCTAGCTAGTGCCATAGTGGTGTCCCAGTCACCATTCACACGTTAAAGCGCAGCAAATGACTCTGCTGTTAGATATTACTGACCCTGGCAGTACTACCTTACAGTGGAGTTAGTTAATACACTGAGCTCTAATACTGGTACTCTTGTAGGCGGTGACACTTTATTGTGAAGCTAATTAGTATGTGTGGTGTACAGTATGGAGGAATATATTATGGAAAAACTTGAATAGTTATAGACCAAGTAACTTCCTGGAATCCAAACTGTGTGTCAGATAACATTAGTTCATGGCTTTGTTCTGTTAATTCCAAACTGGGGGCTGCATTACTCATAGCATTCAATTTTGTTTTCGTTTGCCCTGTTTTTACAATTTAGAGGTCAATTCCCCCCCAACACACACACACACACACCACACACACACACACCACACACACACACACACACACACACACACACACACACACACACACACACACACACACACACACACACAGTCATTTCTCATATGAAAAAGCTCTGCAATATTTTACAGTTATGGACCAAACCACATTAGCGATGCTTGTGGGCCATTACAATAGTAGATTCATTTCCTTCTGTTTCAGTAATTAGTTTGCCTTTAGGTCCCTTTTGCTGTTAATTATATTGTCAGCAGTATACAGTTTTCCCCATTCTAGCACCAAATCTAATGAGTCCAAACTGTCTTTTAAATGTTTTTAATATATAAGTAAGTAGTAGCATAACCATTTCATTGTGAACATTCTGCCTCAGACTAACATATAAGATAATGTGAGGGTGTGCATTAGAATAGTACAAGTTTAGGGACAGAGTATTTGGATGACAAGCAATTGAATTGAGAGAAGGACTTTCAGTTCAGGCCCTGTATCAGATAACAGGACTGTATGCCTGAGTGTACAAGAGTAAGTAGGTTCAGCATGCCCACCCATGGTCCTTCATCCCAGAGCAGGTGCACAGGGATGAGTGTGTAGTGAGTGGAACCCTTGTTTCCACATCCTCTTGCTGGCCTATACAGATAAGGGAGCACAGTAGGGGAGGCTCATTATATGCTGCTGGGAAAGGTCAGCATCAAAGACAAAACTGGGAGGGAACTGTGACTCAGAGATGTGGCAAGTCTTTAGGGGATTTTTTTTTTATGTGCAGTGCAGTTTACACACCACCTCTTGCTCAGGACTTAAGTCATAATATAACACAATGTGCCCAAAGAAAGCACTGGAAACCCAACCCAGTTAGCTTCAGGTCTTCATGGAATAGGTGAATCTGGGGAAACATCTGTTTAATCAATGGAAACCAACGGTGGCCTGGATAGTCCACCTCTTTCTGGATTGATAAAATATTTGGGGCACTTCTATAGTATATCAAATAAATAATAATAGCAGATTCCTTTCAGTCCTTGGCTTTTCTACAGGTTGTCAACTAGTGGTAATTCTGGTGTTTGCTTCTGTGGTATAGACACATGTCCACCATGAGACTCATCTCACAGAGGCCAACAAGCAGTCAGGTGGTGGTAACAACTTCAGGTTATCTCCTGGCTAGGTCAAATTTTGACTTAAGAGCAGCAAAAATGCCCTCACTCCCAATTACTTCCAGACTGTGACTGAAAACCAAGAGCAGGTATATTATATATTATGATAAAAAAAAGTTTCGCTACCTAAGACATTCATTCCATCCTTAAATTCAAGCCCCTTCTTAATGACCAGCTGTTCTTCTGGTGTGGTTTCACTCACTGTCTCATTCACCATAGCAAAGACAGAGTCAGTGACATTAGAGGGTTCTTCAATTGGTGGTGGCACCAGTACTTTCTTAGTGACTGTTTGGATCTGAAGGTATTGAAAAAAAAAAAGCAGAATAAGAACAGAATCAGAACAGGTTTTAATCCATTGTGAAAACTAGGGAACAATAATAAAAACTCATCTTAACTGCACATTCCAAACAGCCTTAGGGAACATTTTTTTTTTAAACACAGCCTCTATTCTGTCATCTAAAAATAGGCCAGTTTTTACTAGTTCCAAGTGAAAGGATGTAACATTACATTGTGCTGCAAGAGTTTGGCTGCACTGCTTCTGGATAAAGAGATAGTCGCAGGCCACCTCCTGAATCAAAAGTGGCATAGTTGTGTTCATCTAGGACTGCATCCAGGCCACTAATTAGCTTTCTTTGTGGATTGGAAAACAGCATAATCCCAGCTGTGCTAGTAATTAGCCTGTCCACAGTGCCACATTATGGTGGCTACATTCACCCAAACTGGAAATGGCATGAACTACAACTGGTTCTGAGTTCTGGAAGAACTATCCAGGGTTGTGTCCTGGATTTTGCTCCCAAAAAGTGGGATACAGAGCCACCCCTACACTTAGATCTGCACATTGTTGAGGGGGTGGGAAATCATGGCTTTACTGTGATGGATTCACAGACTTTTGGTCTTTTAGAAAGAAACATTCTCTAAATATAGAGGAGGAAAAAAAGGGCACCCAAAGGAAAAACATCACAGATGATGCATGAGAATCTCTTCAGTGGTCCTGACCCTGGCCCACATTCCTCCTACTTTCAATTTTTTTCAGATTTTATTTTTATCTTGGGAATTTTATCATCCTGTATTTTCTGTGTGTGGTGTCAGAGCAGAGCCATAGACATTCTGAGTACTCACAACCCCTGGGGGAGCGAATGAAAGTTGAAGAACCTCATAATTTCTCAGGATAAAGACTCATAATTCTAGTGATGGTGAGCCAAGATCAAAGTTCAGGTTCAGATAAGCACTTTGAAAATAAAGGTGCTTGACTGGCCCTTACGGTTGTCATTCTATATCAGATATTTAGAAGGGACAATTAATTGATTTAAATTGACAGTCTACGGGTGGGTGAGTTTCATATGCAAAATAAGGCTTGCAAATCAATCTTTTAAACCCCAAAATTATTCAAGAAGCTCACATTCCTCCAAGCTCATCCAGGTTCAGCTCTTCAAACAACCCCAATTTAACATACAACCTGAGTTTGTGGCATACAACCTTTCCTACCATCTACAAGACAGAAAGGGGAACTGTAGCTCCCCCTTATGGATCATGATAGCACAACAGTGTGCCATTAATATTTCAAAATAGTTCCAAAATACTGGGCTAGAGTTCTGCAAAACAATCCCTTCAGCTCCAGAGACCATACTATCCCAAGACTGCTTGGAAGTTTTAAACGGCCACAGATGTAGTCCTGACAAACACAGGAAAAAAAGGCAGCTATTGACACCCCCTGAACCAGGCCATTCATTCCTTTTGTGTCCATCACAGCAATGAATGTTGGTGTCAATGGTGTTAGAGGTGCAGATTTTAAATGAAGTGGTGGAACCTGCAATAAGTACTCTTTCTTCATGGGCCCCCCAGGGGGAGATCAAGCGAGTTGCTCAAGATCCCACAGGATGTCATTGGTAGGCAGGGAATGGAGGTCTTCCAAGTTAGCACCTTTACAACTAGGTCATACTTCCTCACCACCAAAACCAGGTGAGGATAAGAAAGAATTCCAACCTTCCTAGTAACCAAGAGGAAAGAGAAATTAAATTTCTAACCCAATTCAGCAAGCAGCATATGAGGAGCTAAGGCTAAGAAGTAGTGGGTATTTCATTTGGAAAGGGGTATGACTTAGTAATGGGAATGTGGCTTTTGTAGCAGAAGCTGTGGTTGGCCAGACTGAATGTGTGAAGAGTTAAAACTCATTTGGGCCTTCATGAAAAGCTCCCTGAACTTTCTGGGAGTCTGCCCATTGACTTCTATAGTCTTTGGATTGGATCCATAAAGTGTAAAGCTAAGAAAAGATCAGTGGAAGAACAGGCCATATCTAGTGAAGTGAACTGCATTTACTACATTGCATTTACCACATGTGTATTACACATATTGAGAGAGGCAGCCAAATGACCTGACAGATATTAGTGGCCTGATTCTTCTTGTTCTCTCTTTCCAACTCATTCCTTGCTCCTACCTATGAATATTCAAACAATCTGCTACAGATTAAAGTACTATTTAGTCTCTCTTTCATGATACAAAATAGCACAGAAGGAGAGAAATAAAACCCCACTTGCTTTATGAAAACACTTTCAATTTTTCAATTAAAGCATTTGTGATGTTCAGCCAGCCATGGTCTGGCCACACGATGTTCTCATGATGGTTTGGAAATATTCTGAACATTCTTTTTATAAACCCCCAAAGACTGTGGGTTTTTATGTGAAAATCCAGGGAAGAAACAAAATTATCCAAGTCTTTTAACAGTTTCAAGCTTTCCAAGCCGCACCCAACCCCCTACTCTGCTCAGTTCTCTTGCCTCTAGCTACAACTCCAGATACCAGACAATGCCAGATGAACCCATTTCAAAACATTTAAGAAGGGGTTTGGCAACACATCTTGTTTGGTTCAACAAAAATAGTTAGCATGATTGCCAAACAATTTAGCTTTAGGAAAAAGCTGCTCACATTTAAAAAAAATATGTATTGAGAGAGAAACTGGGAAGTTTGTGTTCCTTGCAAACATTTCTTTTACCCCTTTAAAAATCATGTTAATTTAGTGTAGATGAAAAGTTATTATACCAAAGCTTTTAACTGGGAAATGTAACTAGAGTGTAGGTCTTTACCAGCTACCATTAAAATATACCTCCAATCTGACCAAGTGGCACCACCTCTGTGGTGATTTGACCATTTGGTTGTATTGTCTAAGCAGTCCTCTATTTTCCTGAGCAGCAAGCAGGTACATTGTATATGGTAGTAGGTTTTGCTGTATATGGTGGTAGGTTTTGTGATGCAGACCCATGTCCATTGGGAACTAGCCTGAGACCACAAGCACATTTTACATAATGCACTGGACATATATCAATCCAGTCACCCACAACCTGACCCAAACTGAAATTCAAACTGGCAGGCTAGAGGCAAGAGGTTTCCAAACCAATCAGCTAGCCAGCCCTCCACAGGCAAATCTCAACAGCATTATATTCTGTTCCTAAAAGCTTAATAAAATGACAAGGAAACAGGTTTTAAATTTGAAATAGATTAAAAAAAAAAAAAGCTGTACCTTTAAAACAGGTGGCACACTATTTTCCTTCTTTGCTTAACTGCCAAAGACCAAAGGCCTGTATTTTCTTCATCACTCATTTGTTGCCATTCCCAAAGTGAAAGACAGAACCCTGAATGTGTATCTTGCCAGGTTAAAAGGTCTTCACCTTTAAAAAAAAATGTTGCAAAGAATAGATATTTTTACCTGCTGGAAGCATGCTTGGACTAGATTTTCAGGGAACAGATTTCGAATAAGATCCAAGAAAGCATCCAAACTGGACACTTCATCATTCTTCTTTCCTTCTCCCAGCTGCTTCTTGAGTTTGGGATTCCCTGGGTGAATGGCTAAAACCAGAATGACACCCAGCACAGCAGCAATGATAGTAGTAGACATGTAGTAGACCATGGCTCTCGTGCCCAATCGGCCACTAGCTTTAGCATCCAAACCAGACAGTCCTATGTTTAAAAAGAAGACAAGAAAAGAACACAAAACAAAAAAAAGTCCAATAGGACTAGATATTATACCATTCACTAAATTATCACAGAACATCCTGTTGAATCTGCTTATGGCTCTTGCCACGAGATTTCTTGTGATATTTTCCTTCCCAGAGGAATTTCTCATAGGATATATAGGGGGTATCCTGAAGACCCTCCATTTTTGCTCCTGTGCAAATACTTGCTCAAAGCCCCAGCTACATAAAGAGAACTGGTCAAAAATGACATTCAACCCCACAGATGCTGTTGAGAGATATGAATCGTATTCTTTAAGGCAAGAAAAAACCCTGTAGAGATGTAGAGAGATGGCACCATATCAGCATTTTGGCACTGATTCCTAAACAGTTGGTCATTTCAAGTGTGACACCACACTTTAGAGCAGGCTATCCTTTCCAAAGCTGTACTGTCAGTCAGACAAATCCTACTTTAGGAGTGGATGCGACAGTATAAAAGTAAAATGGTGACATTCAGAAGAGCAGACCATGTTTGTCTAGACATAACCTGTTTGGACCTCAACCTATGATAACACAGTGTATCAGAATAGAGATGGCCTTGCCGTATGAAATCTAAATACATTATCACCATCTGCAAAAGACTCACTGCCATCACACCATTATTATTTTTTTCCTTCTTAGAAAAATGATCCATGTGGCATCTTTAACAAGCATCTTAAATTGCTTATTGTTAATAGTTCTCACCTGTGATTAAACTGGAAATAATTAAAGGAAGGATCAGCATTTTTAGCATCCTCATAAGGATATCTCCTGGGAAAGCAATTAGCATGATAATGTCAGGGTCAATAGGAGTTGCCAGGCGAAGAAGCCCCCCACACAGTGCACCCAAAATGACACCTGGGAGGAGAATAAGAAAGAAGGGGTGGGGAAGGGAAATAAACCAGAATCACTTTTTCATTACCCAGAAGAACAACCTTGAATTAAAAATGGTTTCAGAATGTGACTGACCCTAAAACATTCTGTGCAATATTTTGCTCCTACACAGTATCTGATGCCCTGATGTTCCTGATGCCCTCTTTTATTTTGTAAAATGTACCTAAGTCTCACTACACTCTGAGAGATGCATGTTTAATTCATATCATCATCATATAACTCTAATTTCTTAAAGAAGTCCTGGCAGAGAAGGCAGCTCAGGAAAAGGTCCTATCGGAAAACAAGCAAGATCTTGTGATGAAGTTGCATTTAATATTTTTTACCAGTGAAAGGAATAACAACATTGCTTTCTCTGCCTAGATTGTTATTAGTATCCAATTCATAGAAAGATAAAATTGGAACAGAAAAAAACTATTAGATTATTCCCTGCCAGGAACAGTGCCTTGAGCAGCAAAGTACTGTACATCACAAGAAGCTCTGAATTGTGTTTCAGTGCTACTGTTCAGTAAGTTATGGTTCTTTGCTTGTATAAAGTTGATTCAATAGGGAATAAATGTATTTTTATAATTGTTTGTGATGGTCTCGGGAAAGTACATCGGACATCTTCTAAGGAATGGTTCAAGCCAAAACTCCATGTCCAAATCTCTCAACTGTAGGAGGGTTGAAGATTTGATAATGTTGGCATGGAGGTAAATTTTGCAGATCAGAACCAGCTGTACTTTATCTTAAAGCTGGTCTATCAAGCTGTAGCAATACAGAAAAGGTCTGTGAATTTGCTGCATTTGGCTGTTAGGCTTACAGTGGGAAAAAAGGACTGGGCATGAACCACAATGAACCACAATTAAATGTCAAACTGTTCCATATTTGGAAGCTGTTAAAACCAGAAGGCAGTTTTCAGAGCTAGATTATTGATCCCAGGCATTGTGACCAGAGAGAGGCAGAAGCTCAGTTCTCCAGAAAAAATAAGAGAAAGAAGGTGTATACTGAGATGTGAAAGGCTCAGGTAAAGGAGGCTTTCAGATTTGGCCTTTTAAAGAAACAAAAAGAAAAAGATCAATTTATTTAAAGCTGCCAAATGGAATCCATTTCCCTGAGCTAAGAAATGAACTCTTATTTTACCCACAAGCCAGAGAGTACATGAAGATCAACAGTGCAGGTTTCCCCGCTACTGTGCAAATAATGTGCTCCACACTTGAAGTAAGGGGACCTGGCATACTGGTGTTCCATTCACTTCTTGGCTGTTCAGCTGGGGCTACCAAGTTTTCTGTAGCTGAACAAAGATATAGACTGTTCAACTACTGGACAAATAGAGAAGCATACCTAGTGTGCAAATAAAACAGGATATATCTTACCAGCTACAGTAAGAGACAGAAGAAGGTTTTTTCGGAGAGACTGACAGAATCGTATGTGCAACTGCTTGGGTCTTGGTTCCACTGGGCTCAGGTGGCTCTCATGCATCCGCACTTCAACTTGCTTAGGCATATTGCTGGCACTGGAATAAAAATGAATTTACTGATAAGCATCTAGAGAGTACAAGGTGTTGCAAATTAAAGAAAACAGTTCAACCTTAGATTTACAACTATCCCATGTGATTGGAAAATCTGATACCGATCCTAGCCCTTCCCAAAAGGCATAAAAATCTTCAGTTGAAGTGATAGTCTTGTCATACATGGGCAAACACACAGCAGCTACTGTGGTGTTAATCCACAATGGGTGTGTCGACACGAGATGGTTTACTGCACAGTAAAGTGTCACTGCCTACATGTGTGCATAGTTACTATGTAGTAAATTAGTCTACTGTGCAGTTAGCTACTGTCTGTAAGTACAGTTAGTAAACTAACTGTGCAGTAGATACTGTGCAGTAATATTCATATACGTGCTAACTGGGAGCAGATTTGCTCCCAGTCAGCCTAGGCAGCAGGAAGCTGCAGGGGACAGGGAGCTCTCTGGCCCCAGTCCTGGTGCTTCTCAGGTCCCCAGCTTCCCCCACGAGCTGGGAGCCAATCAGCGCCAGGAATGGGGAGCTCTCTGGCCTCTGTCCCAGCTCCTGGCATGGAGATGGAAGCTGTGGAGCAGCTTCGCACAATGCGGTGCTGCTCCGGGTCACAGATAAAGGCTGGATTCTCAGCCTCCACCTGCTCCCTGGAGCCATCCAGCTCTGTGCCAAGGAGGGCAGCTGCTGGTAAGCCCCATGCCCCCCCCACACATATACACACACCTTGCAAGAGGCTCTCTGGCACCTGCCCCACATCCGGAACAGCTCCCAGCAACCCCCTGCCTGGCAGGAGGCTTGCTGGGAGCTATGTGTCCTGCTGGGCATGGGGCCAGGAAACAGCTGCTGCTACAGCCAGCAGAGCTTTCCTGGTCCCGTGCCCACTGAGACCAACCCCATGCCCTTTGTCAGGCCCTGAGCTAGTACCAGGGGACTCTGGAGCTCCCCCTGGTTGCTGAAGGGGTGCAGATCAGGGCAGAAGCAGCTCTGTACCAGCCTGCTCCCATTGGACACATCCAGATGAGCGCAGATATGCAGTAAGTGAAGCCACAGACCTGTTTGCAGTGGTACACACTGTACATGCAGGCATTCCCTGCGCTACCTTGCAACATGGGGGGGGAGGGGTTTAACCCTGGAAGACCCCAGGCTCAAAAAACCCCATGCCTTAAAAAAGCAAATCGGCATACATGGTGGCAGCGTGCACTGCCCCAAACCAGGGCCTGGCCAACCGGACCCACACTCCGGCTGACAGCCAGACTCTCAGCTGCAGGACCACCATGGCTGCAGTTCCCCAAGGCCCCCAGGATCCCAGGTAAGGCTGCTGGAGCCAACTGAGTTGCTGGCCCCAGCCTCCCCTACCCCACCTGGGGTAATTTGCCCCATGCCAAGGTGTGCCACTGCTACTTATTCCCCAGGGAAACAAATGGCAGCACTCATCTGGACACAGCCATTGTGAGCAAATCTGCTTCCAAGAGGGAGCACAAGTATGTGCTGTACTGTGAATTAATAGCACATGTAGCTCCATCCAGTGAGGAGAGTGAAGCCAAAATTTTAGGTCAGATGCTCTATCATGTGTGTCCCGGGGGGATGAACCAAGCCCCAGTGTCACGGTGGGCCGGGGTGGCTATTGACTACGAAAACAGGCGGGATTCTTGGCGA